CCTGATTAGGGATGGGGCCAGCCAGCCAACTGCCCAGGGCCCCTTTCTCTGGCCAGCCCTATCCCCAATCAGCCCCCAACACCCGGGTCAAGGGCTGGGCCAGCCAGCCAACTGCTTGCAGCCCCTGCCCCTGGCCGTCTGCGCCCCTGATCAGTCCCCAACACCCCAATTGGGGGAGGGGCCGGCCAGCCACCCTCCTATGGCCTCTTCTCCCTGCTGGCCGGGTCCATTGGGCCCCCATCAGGGTGGGCCACCGGGACCTCACCCATGCACAAATTTGTTCATTGGGCCCCATAATATATTATGACAACATGGCTGAATCTTGGAGGCATTATGCTAAGTGGAATAAATCAGAAAGACAAATACTGCCAAGGCATCACTTATATATGAAAAAAAAGTCTAAGTCGTAGAAAGAATGATGGTTATCAGCGAATGGAGGATAGGGGAAATAAGGAGAGGTTGGTAAAGGGTACATACTTTGAGCTATAATATTATTGTAAAATGTGACTATAGTTGATAATACTGTATTGTATAATTGAAATTTGCTGAGAGAATAGAACTTAAATAATCTCTCCCTCCAAAAAATAAAGATAAATATGTGAGGTGATGGATGTATATAGGTATGTCAGGTCATCACTATGTAAACTTTAAATATCTTATAACTTTGTCAATTATACCTCAATAAAGCCAGAAAAAAAGATAAAAGTTACATTTCTTCTATCCATTAAAAATTATTTTAAAACGCTTTCATTATTGGAATTGTATAATTTAAACTTGTTAAGTTTCTCATCTCCTTAGAATCTGGACATTTTTAATGTTAACATTCTTATCTTATTGATTAAATGATTGCTATATTTCTAACTTTGGGAAATCATAGCTAATGCTAATTAATCAGAGCCTCCTTTAGGCTGGTCAAAATCCCGCCACTAAGAATATTATTATTAACCTCTGTCTCCCTTTCCTTGTAACTATAAAGGATCTGAGAGCTTAGATCCCAGAGTAGGGATTTAAAATTCAAAGCGCCGAAACCAGTTTGGCTCAGTAGATAGAGCATCAGCCTGCGGACTGAAAGGTCCCAGGTTCGATTCCGGTCAAGGGCATGTACCTTGGTTGTGGGCACTTCCCCAGTGGGGGGTGTGCAAGAGGCAGCTGGTCGATGTTTCTCTCTCATCGATGTTTCTGACTATCCCTCTCTCTTTATCTCTGTAAAAAATCAATAAAATATATAAAAAATAAAAATAAAAAGTAAAATAAAATTCAAAGCATAGGAGTGGAGAACAGAGTTCCAAGAAGTCCTAACAGCCAAAACCGGTTTGGCTCAGTGGATAGAGCGTCGGCCTGTGGACTGAAAGGTCCCGGGTTCGATTCCGGTCAAGGGCATGTACCTTGTTTGCAGGCACATCCCCAGTGGAGGGAGTGCAAGAGGCAGCTGATCGATGATTCTCATCCATGTTTCTAACTCTATCCCTCTCTCTTCCTCTCTGTAAAAAATTAATAAAATATATATTTAAAAAAAAAGAAGTCCTAACAATGGGGATAATAAAACCATAAATTCATGATGAGCTAAATAATAGTTGAAACCAGTTAGAATTAAATAAAAAAAAAGCATGAATTCCTGGGTGGTATTAAATTTCCTAAAAACTTGTCTTGGTATTTTTAAGTAATAAACATTGGAAATATTAGAATACACAATTTCCCCTCAATTTATAACTTATAAAGTACATAAAACATAAAATTTGTCATTTTAACCACTTAAAAATATCCAGCTCAGTGGTATTAAGTTCATTCATATTGTTGTGCAGCCTGGTTGAGTGTCCATCTATGAACCAGGAGGTCACCGTTCAATTCCTGGTCAGAGTACATGTCCAGGTTGTGGGCTTCATCCCCAGTGAGGGGCTTGTAGGAGGCAGGCAATCAATGATTATCTCATCATCAATGTTTATCTCTCCCTCTTTCTTCTTTTCTGAAAGCAGTAAAAATATATATTGTTTTGCAACCACCTCCACCCTTCATCTCCAGAGCTCTGGTAAAACTGAAACATTATACCCATTAAACAATAACTTCCCTTCTCCCTGTCCAGCCCCTGACTTGAATTATTTCGTGTGACTGGAATCTTATTTCATTCTGTCTGTTTTACTTCATTTTGCATAATGTCTTAAGGTTGTAGCATGTGTCAGCATTTCCTTCCCTTTAAGGCTGAATAATATACCACATTTTGCTTTTCCAGGAACACTTGGGTTGCTTTCATGTTTTAGCTATTGTGAATAGTGCTAAATGTGAACATAGGTGTACAAATATCTCTTTAAGACTCTATTTTCAGTTCTTTGGGGCATGTACCCAAAAGTGTAATTGCTAGATCATATATGTTACATAAAATTTCCCAGAACCAAGAAACCGGAAAAGAAGCTGACAACTCCATCATTACATTAGAGTTTAAGAGAACTCACAGATGAGGTGCATCTTGGTGGCGGCAAGATAATTTGAGTATCCTTTACCCCTTTCCCCTCTGCCCCCCAAACTCTATCTTACAGCTAAAAGCACTGAGTCTCCGTGCTGGGAAAGGAGTGTGTGTTTGTAATGTGAGCACGGTAGCAAAAGACCAGGATAAGTGGCTTATCTTAGTGCCTTTTGGTATTGATTTTTGTCCGTTGTACTGGTATACAGTTTCGATGGCAGACATCTTATGCCAGGACATCTCAGATTTCCAGGAATTTCAGGAGCATCTATGATATATACAAATACAACACAAAGAAGGCTCAATGTTATTTACTTGACAATGTTTCCCATGTAATTTTAACAAACCAAGTAAGCGCAATTAGTTTAATATTTCCCTGGGTGGGGTCCAGACAGCCTAGCCAGCGCGAGGGGCCAGGTTGGCCGAAATCCTGGTTGAGGGGACAATTTGCATGTTAGCCTTTTATTATAGAATATACACTAAATGGCCAGATTATTATGCATTCAGAGATCATAATAATCTGGCCACTCAGTGTATATGATAGATTAGACAGAAAGATAGATAGTCACCTAGTTTTCAGCGCCTAGGAAAATGTCCCTTAACAGTGGTTAAAAAGTGAATCAGTTGGGTATGTGGCTCCTTGCAGGATACTCCTCGCTATTTTTAGCCCAGCTAATGTGGTTTTGTTTGTTTGTTTTTGTTTCTATTAGTTACGCAGATTTGTAATATTAGGTAATGTGGTTTTGAAATCTATATGTATTTATCATTTAATTCCATTGAAGTGTTTGATGTAGTTTCCAAACTTTGAATTAGTGATTTCAGCTCTATTTGCTACTTTGTTTTCTCGAGGCAATATATTCATTCTGTACATTTTCTTTAAAAAAAAAAAAAATTTTTTTTAACAACCAATCTCCTAGGTTTTGTCATCTCAGAGTAACAGCTCCATCTTGTGAGCCTTTAGGCTATTGCAGCGAAAACTTTAAAAGCCCTTTGTTCTGGTGTCATAGATTGACAGACCCTATATTTTAAAATGCCAGGGTAGTGGTACTATAAAAGATAGATCTTGAAAACGACCTATCTCCATTCTCTGTGGTTTTTATGTTATTAGCAAGCAGGCATCAGGATGTTTAGAACAAAACCCAAGGAATGTTATTATCTCCCCTGGTTTGACCAAGGTTTACACTCTTGATTATAAATCTGTGTAGCTTTTCTGCTTGGTTAAAAGTAGCAGTAAGGTAATTATTGGCTTGAAACCTTTGATTTAGTCTCTTGTAGCTCATCAGTCCCTGTTTTTTGTTTGTTTGTATGTTTTTAATTTAATTTATTGGGGTGACATTGGTTTATAAAATTAATATGGGCTTCAGGTGTATAATTCTATAAGTCCCTGTTTTTTTATGCAAAGTAACAAAGATGTAATTTTAAGAAATTGTGTAACTAAATGATTTTATTTTAAATCAACTTTAAAAATACATTTTATAATACAGTAATTGATTACTTAGCTTCTTCATGTGTGCTTTTTATTGAGGCTATCAACTGAAAATTGAATTTAAAGTTTTGTTCCATGGTAAAATTAATTTTCTGACTCCTCAAAGCTCAGTTTGAATTAGAGATCATATGTCAAGTTGGTATTTGACTGAAGTATGCAAAATGAGATGACTAATTTTCATTGTTTTTCTAAATAATAAGCACTTGGGAATTTTTTAAATGTATCATTAAACAGCCAAGTTGGGAGAATAATGTGGGTAATTGAGCTGATTAATTTTGTTTGAGGATAAAACTAAATGATGATAAAGTAATTAAACTGATCTGCGATTTGTCTTTCAAACCACCTTCTGGAAAAGGTGATCCAAAAACATTTTGAGTAATTTCAGAGTCACAATGGAAATGACTAGGCATTGGAAATGATTGTTTTGAAGATGTACTTCCTCAGTGATATAAGTTTTGTTATGTTTAAAAACTACTTCCCTTCTTTATAGAAACATTCTTTCCACACACACCCCTACTATTTTATTATGAAAAATATACAACATTCAATAAAATTTGGAAAATTATACTGTGGATAACCATACACCCACCACCTTGATTTTGTAATAGTTTAGCAGAACAGTATTTTGCAAGAATAATACCTTGCAAAAATAATATTTTGTTTTGTCTCTTCACCGGGCTGTTGTTTTTGTTTTTTTTTAATATATTTTTATTGATTTTTTTTTTTACAGAGAGGAAGGGAGAGAGATAGAGAGCTAGAAACATCAATGAGAGAAACATCGACCAGCTGCCTCTTGCACACCGGGGATGTGCCCGCAACCAACGTACATGCCCCTGACGGGAATCGAACCTGGGACCTTTCAGTCCGCAGACTGAAATTAACTTACTCTACCACTGAGCCAAACCGGTTTCGGCTGTCTTATTTTTTGATGCATTTTATTGATAGTCCATTGATTTCAAAGATCAGATACAATGAACAGTTTCCCTTTGGAGGAACCAGGGCCTGCTTATTGAAGAGAATGAATTAGCTCCTGTGACCATCTGACCTTCTGTTTTTCAGGATGTGTTCAACATGGTGGTTGAAGTACCACGCTGGTCTAATGCAAAAATGGAGGTATGTGTGCCTTTGATAGTCAGGTGTAGGATATTAGTTTTGATCTAGCCTTACTGATTTGCTGAAGGGTTAAACAGCTAAAGTCCAAGGTTACCTCTTTCTAGTCCCAATCTGTTTTCCAGTTGTATCTCTCATTGCCTGCCAATCATACCTCTGTGTTCCAACTAAACTCATCTGTTTACAGTTTACAAATATGCTACAGACTTTCCTTCTTTTACATCTTCGCTTCTGGAGTTCCCAAAGCCTAGAATTATCTTTTTCTCCTCTGTCCTATTCTTTTTAAGTTCATTATTGACTTCACAGAGTCAACAGGCTTTCCTTGGTCCCCCCAGCCACAAATGATCTTATTGGAATTTCTGTTGCATTTCCTTCTGATGTTAATTGTTAATTTCCTTCTGATGACACATAAGATATTTGTTTTTTTGTTAAGGATATTTATTATGTGTTTTATGTCACTTAATTGAGCTTTTTAAATATAATCACACTTAGCATGTAATAGATATTCAAATGCTTCAATAATTTTAAATGCTCTGAAGGAAAGCTGAATTTGGTAATATTTATTTTGCCCTTTTAATAAAAATCTTTTATTTCTCAAATGTTAAGATTTATTCTAGGTAAGTTTAATTTTTTTTTTTCTGGAATTACTAAATGTTCTTGTCCCCTTCTTGATAGTTCCTATATACCTCAAATGTTTTCCACTTAAAGGCTGGCTATGGAGGAACTTTTATTTCAAATTATAAAAATGTTACAGATAAAATATGTCATTACAGTGGAGCTAGAGGGTGTGCATTCCATAATTTCCTCAAATCCTTATTTGAATAGTATTTCACATCCAAATATGCAATGATTAGAAAATTTTTATTTCAGATTGCTACAAAGGACCCTTTGAACCCAATTAAACAAGATGTGAAAAAAGGGAAACTCCGTTATGTTGCAAATGTGTTCCCTTATAAAGGATATATCTGGAACTATGGTGCCATCCCTCAGGTATGTCTCTGTACAATTGTTAGAAATGTACTTTTTAGCTTACAAAAAAATTAACTTACTGGTGTTAGTAAAAAATATATATATATATTTAAATATCTCCAGAAAGTTTTTGCTATAATAGATTTTAAAAACATAAGATAATTAATTTTAATACTTCCTTGAATAACTTTTCAAGATAAACTAAAAGGAAATATTTACAATGTTTAATTTCATATTTGAAAGTTTGTTCTTTTTTGAAATATTTATCTTTCTATATGGACTAGCTATAAATTATATAAATTCTTTCTTTACAGAATGAGTGGCAAATCTATATTAAGAGAGACTGTGTAGGCTAATGGTGATAAAAGCACTGATTTTTGGCACCAAAAAGACTAGATTCAAATTCCAAGGTTGCCGCTCCCTAAGTTACCTAATTTGTCTCTGTTTCTTCCTCCCTGAGACATGAATATCTCCCCCTGAGATATTAATAGTACTTAGCTCATATGGCTATTGTGAGGAATAAAGCACTTAGTTCACGTAGCTGCTGACCATTGTGTTTAGAGTCCTGATTCCCTCTTTAAGCCAAGCTCTCTGTAGTAAAGCAAGAAGAGTATTTTCCTGAACAGTCAACCCTTTGAAGACGAGAGATATCTGTATTGTTTACAAATTTATCCCCAGTGCAACGTCAGTGTTATGTAGTAGGTCCTAATGTAACATTTGAGTGAGGAATCACTAAAATCATGTCTATTATGAGTAATCAACAGATTAAATTCCAGTTTGGTTAGGCTAATGCTGTGGCACTTAGGATTTTTACACAGAATATTCAACTAATTTTTTCCCTTATGATAAGTAGTTTGTTTTTATTAACCATTAAGTCTATTAAGTGGAACCTATTGTGAAACAATCTATAACTTAACCAAACATAGGCCAAACACATCTAGCTTGCCTTAATTATATCATTTTGTCTTGTCCTTGAACTTATTTAATATTTAGCCTTGAAATACTTTTCCTCTGGGAAAACGTTGTTGAAATTCTTATTCTTCTGTAGGCTGGATTTGGCTTGGCTGGATCCGGTGTTCTCTATCACCCTTCATTTTTACCTTTCTGACTTTACTCCAGCTGAGAGACAAACAAATCCAAGAAAGTGTCAGGAGAAAACCAAAACAGCAGCTACGTTTTAAGGTTGATTTTTTGGTAAACATAGGTCATCTATTTTTTTTTATGGGATTCTCTTTCAATTTAGCAGGAAAGAAAGCCAGTAATTTAAAGCTTCAGAAAATTCTGATCAAACTTTTTTTTAGTATATTTTATTGATTTTTTTACAGAGAGGAAGAGAGAGGGATAGAGAATTAGAAACATCGACGAGAGAGAAACATTCATCAGCTGCCTCCTGCACTGGGGATGTGCTCGAAACCAAGGTACATGCCCTTACACGGAATTGAACCTGGGACCTTTCAGTCCGCTCTATCCACTGAGCCAAACTGGTTTAGGCCTGATCAAACTTTTTAATCTTAGCTCCTGTCAGTGATGGTACTTTTACGATCAGAACACAGTTTCTGTTTTAGTATTACTGCCTACCTACTTCTGCTTTGGAAATTTATTTTAAAATCTATTTAGTAGAAGATACTAAGTACCAAGAGTTCCTCAAAGCAGTTTCTTTTAAAATATTTTTAAAGTAAATATTATCTGTGTTTGTATTTGTCTCAATTATTAGGTGTATGTTTTTTCTCTTTAAACCTCACCTGAAGATGTGTATGTTTGTTTTTAATTGATTATTTTAGAGAGAGGAAGGGAAAGAGAGAGACAGAGAAACATTGATTGATTGCCTCCTGTTTGTGCCCTGACTGGAGATTGAATCCACAACCTACATATGTGCCCTGACCCTGTCCGGGAATTGAACCCATAACCTTTTGATGTGCAGGACAGTGCTCTAACTGACTGAGCCACCCAGCCAGGGCGTAGTTGATTTTCATTTGTTTTAAATAGGACCACTACCTGTTTTTTATTTGTTTGTTTTGTTTTAATATTTTTAATTGATTTTTAGTGAGAGAGGAAAGGAAAGAGATAGAGAGATAGAAATATTGATGAGAGAGAAACATCAATATCAATATCAATTGACTGCTTCTTGCATGTCCCCTACTGGGGATCGAACCCTTAACCTGGGCATGTACTCTAACCGAAATTGGTGACCTCTTGGTTCCTGGGTTGATACTCCGTCACTGAGCCACACTGGCTGTGTGATCATTGCCTATTTTAAAGTTTAAATGTAGTTTAGCATTCTATGCATAATAGGAACCCTGGCATTTAATTAAAATTATGATGTGCAGGTAAGATTCTTAAATGTGAATAAAACTTATGGTATTTCTAAATGAGAAAAAATAGTTTAAGATTAACATTTTTTCAAAAAAACTTATATGATATTTTAATATCAACATGATCCATTCTGTCAGTAGCATGTATAGGAACGATATGTTCTAAGCATTTTTCCCTCCCTAGACTTGGGAAGACCCTGGACACAATGATGAGCACACCGGTTGTTGTGGCGACAATGACCCAATTGATGTCTGTGAAATTGGAAGCAGGGTAATGTAATCTGAAATGTTTTTCTTTAGTGCTAAGATGATATTAATGTAATATATAATGTTCGTACTTTAAAAAATATTCTGAATAATGATGTCACTTAAGATGATTCGAAGCTTCCATTTCATTTAAAGCATTTGTATAATTTGTATAATTATAATTTGTGTACTTAAACCTAGGCTAGAAAAAAAATGTATGGCTATACATATAGGGTATCCCCCCAAATTATATACACTTTGAAGTCAGTGTTTATTATTACTAAAAATGGGTGAAAATTAAGTGAGTTATCAGCTGTTAAAGTGTGTATACATTTTTTTAAATACATTTTTTTATTCATTTCAGAGAAGAAGGGAGAAGGAGAGAGAGATAGAAACATCAATGATGAGAAGGAATCATTGATTGACTGCCTCCTGCATGCCCCCTTCTGGGGATTGAGCCTGCAAACCGGGCATATGCCCTTGACCAGAATCAAAACCAGGACCCTTCAGTCTGCAGGCCAACTCTCTATCTGAGCCAAATCGTCTAGGGCAAAAGTGTGAATACATTTTGGGGGACACCCTATATATGTGGAAGGAGTAGACATGTTTTGCTTTCAAAGGCAGATGACTGCTCCGTAGATGAAGGGTACTGAGAAGCAAATGTCATCTCAACACAAGACAAACCTTGCAATTGATCCAAGCTCAGTAAAAAAATCTTCACGAGTTGGAGATTTATGGTAGGGACTCCTCTGTCAAGAAGGGGTGCTGTAAGATTCTAACTGTAGTTATATGTCTTTATGAACTTTCTCAGGCTTGGGAAAATAGTAAACAACTGACAAGAAAGTTGTCATTGAGTTTCTTAAGTCATCAAGTTCAGTCATATTGTATGATGTCTAACTTAGTGGCTTCTATAAAATAAAAGGTAGAGAAAGCAGATTAAAATACATGTTTGAAACAAAATTATGGGAGGTTTATTCTTTGGCACAATCAGTGACAGTTGAAAGAAAGATTAATTATCCTGGACCATGTTACTGGTTTTCTTAGGACCCATAAGTAGTAAGGGTGCATTTTCTACTTCCATAAGACTGATGGGCATTTACTTGTTTAGCTTTTAAAAAACTGCTTAAAGGATCAATCAAGGGAAGTTTGCAGAAACTTGGTGTCTTCCTTATTTCACCAAGTAAAGTTTTTCTTCCAAAGTTTCATTCTGTGGTATTATCCTGACTGTGGTTATGACTCTCAGGTCTGTGCAAGAGGTGAAATAATCAGGGTGAAAGTTCTGGGCATATTGGCTATGATTGACGAAGGGGAGACTGACTGGAAAGTGATTGCCATCAATGTGGATGATCCTGATGCAGCCAATTATAATGGTAAGAAAGTTTAAGGAGTCTGAAGTATTTCTGATGCACCACTTAACCTCTAACGACAGAGTTGTAAGCTCTTGCCTTCAAATTCTTAAAGAATGGAGGAGAAGCAAAACATTGTTATTTCTAATGGGGAACTTCTATAAATCACTGAGTAAATTTTCTCCTTCATTTAGGAAAGACAAAAATCTGATAGTTCGTGTTTACTATTTTCTCCTTTCCTTCTCATATACTTGCCCTCAGTAGGTCTATTTATTTATTTTTAAAATTTTGTTTTCATTGAAATGTAATTCATATGTCATTAGAAGTCATCATTTTTAAATGTTTATATCGTCACAGAAAGGTTTATGAACAGCATGAAAGAGTCCTTAAGGATTTCTTTTCTTTTCTTTTTTAAAAAAATATATATTTTATTGATTTTGTACAGAGAGGAAGGGAGAGAGATACAGAGTTAGAAACATCGATGATAGAGAGTCATCGATCAGCTGCCTCTTGCACACCCCCTACTGGGGATATGCCCGCAACCAAGGTACATGCCCTTGACCGGAATCGAACCCGGGACCCTTCAGTCCCCAAGCCGACGCTCTATCCATTGAGCCAAACTGGTCCTGGCAGGATTTCTTTTTTAAAGAAGTTTTTTTGTATTTCTATTACAGTTGATATACAATATTATAGTTTCAGGTATACAGCCCAGGGATTAGATATTTATATAATTTACAGAGTGATCACCCCAGTAAAACTAGTATCCATCTGACACCATACATAATTATTAAAATATTACTGACTGTACTGTATTTTTTAAAATATATTTTTATTGATTTAAGAGAGGAAGGGAAAAGGAGAGAGAGAAACATCAATGATAAGAAAGAATCATTGATTAGCTGCCTCCAGCACACCCCCTACTGGGGATTGAGCCCACAACCTGGGCATGTGCCCTTGACCAGAATTGAACCCAGGACCCTCAGTCTGCAGGCTGACACTCTATCCACTGAGCCATAGTGTCTAGGGCTGTACTGTTCTTCTTACATCCCCATTACTGTTTGTAACTACCAATTTGTACTTCTTAATCCCTGACCCTTTTTCATCCATTCACTTGACCCCTTCCCACCTTGCAACCATCAAAATGTTTTCTGTATTTATAGTTTCTATTTTGCTTGTTTGTTTATTTTGCTTTTTAGATTCTATATATACGTGAAATCAAATGGCATTTGTCTTTCTCTGATTTACTTCCCTTAGCACAATGCTCTTTAGGTCCATTCATGTTGCCGATGGCAAGAATTCATTCTTTTTTATGGCTGAGTCATAGTCCGTTGTATAGCTACACTACTTTATCCATTCATTTATTGCTGCAATAAATATATGAGTGCATATGTCTTTTTAAATTAGTGTTTTGTATTTCTTTGGATACATATCCAGAAGTGGAATTACTGGTTCCTTCTTTGTCTCTTATATAGCCTTTCTTTTAAAGTCAGTTTTGTCTGGTATAAGTATTGCTACCCCAGCTTTTGTTTGTTTCCAAAATATGTTTTTCCATCTCTTTCCGTCTGTCTATCTGAAATGAATCTCTTGTAGACAGTATATGTAAGGGTCTTGTTTTGCTAGCCATTCAACTACCTTGTGTCTTTTGATTAGAGTATTTGATCCATTTGCATTTAAAGTAATTGTTGAGTCAGAACCGGTTTGGCTCAGTGGATAGAGTGTCGGCCTGCGGTCCCAGGTTCGATTCTGGTCAAGGGCATGTACCTGGTTGCAGGCACATCCCCAGTGGGGGATGAGCAGGAGGCAGCTGGTCAATGGTTCTCTCTCATCGATGTTTGTGACTTTCTGTCCCTCTCCCTTCCTCTCTGTAAAAAAATCAATAAAATATATATTTTTAAAAATAAAATAAAGTAATTATTTATAGATATATAGTTATTGCCATTTTATTATTCATATTTTTCTTCTTTTTTCTTTTTCCTCCTTTTCCCCTTCTTCCTTCTCCTTTCTCCTTCTTTATTAGTCCTTTAACATTTCTTGTAATACTGATTCAGAGGTGATGAAGTCCTTTAGCTTTTTCTTGTCCGAGAAGCTCTTTATCTGTCTTTCAATTCCAAATGATAGCTTTTTTTGGGTAAAGTAATTTTGATTATGGGTTCTTGCTTTCATCCCTTTGAATATTTCATGCCAGTTCATCTGGCCTGAAAAGTTTCTGTTGAGTAATAAGCTGACAGTCTTATGGAAGCTCCCTTGTAGGTAACTAACTGCTTTTCTCTTTGTTTTTAACTTTTGGCATTTTTGTGATGTGTATTGAGTTCATCTTATTTGGGACTTTTTTGCTTCCTGGACTTCTATGTCTTTTTCCTTCACCAGGTTAGGGAAGTTTTCAGTCATTATTTCTTCAAATAGGTCCTCAATCCCTGGCTCTCTCTTTTCCTTCAACACTATTAATTCCAGGACATTTCTCCATTCCAGCAGGAAACCCGATATCTATTAGCAGTCACACCCTATTCCCACTTCCCTCAGTCCCTGGCAGGCACTTACCTATTGTCTGTCTCTATGAATTTTCCTATTCTGAACATTTCACATAAATCTTATATGATGATATGTCTGGCTTCTTTCACTTAGCATAATGTTTTCAGGGTTCATCTATATTGTAAAATGTTCAGTACTTCATTCCCCTTTTTTGGCAGTATTACTAACTTTACACAAAACTTATTTTAACTATTTTGAAGTATACAATTTGGTGGCATTTATTACAGTCACATTGTTATGCAACCATAACCATTATCTAGTTCCAAAACATTTTCATCACTCCAGAAGGAAACTTTGTACCTTTATGCAATCACTTCCTATTTTTTCCTTCTCCCAGGCCCTGACAACCACTAATATGCTTTTTATCTCTATAAATTTCCTGTTGTGGATATCTGGCATTTCTCAATCACAATTGTGTAAGCTAAGAGATCTCATAGCACTATTATTCTGTCATTACCAGGTAGTTCCAAGAAAGATTTTTTATCGTTAAGATTTGTCTTGCTAAGATTAATAAGAAAGATTTCTCTTCTTATTGCAAAGAGCATTGGACCAGGTTCTGAGATGTAGATTCTTTGACTTATTAGCCATATATTAACTTGGTAACATTCATAATTATCTGTAAATACCATTTTGTGGAGAAATCAAATGAGAGACCGTAGGTGAATAGGGTTTGTGAATTAAAAAGCACCATCTGAAAGGAGGATAAACTTTTACTTTCACCTTCTACACAAGAAATATTTTTTAAATATCCCAAATTAAATTGCTTTTTAGAGCATTTATAGAAAATTGGCATTATAACCAGTATCACTTTGACCCACTTTTAAGTGTCTGTTCCATGGAATTCCTCATAAATATATGCAAAGATGTATGTACAATGGGACTGAGCCCTTTAATTTGTGGGATCAGACGTTAATTCCACTAGTGTCATTATTAAATTTAATTGTTGGACACTCACTGGTGCCTGAAGAATAGGAGAATTGGTCAGAAATTTTTGGGGAAATATCCCATACTTGGGATTTTTGGATTTTCAGATTTTCAGATTAATTCTGTATTAGGTGATACATTTTAAGTGAATTATAAGTTCCTTGTAATTGACCAGTGTTTTAAATAGTTCCCAGTTCACTTTGTAAACTTTCCATACTTTTAGTGGTACTATAAACAAAATGCATGATATTTGTTTAACTGTGTGTGATATAAATTGGACTTAAAGTTATTTTATATAAATACCCATAAGCTTTTGTTGTTAAATGTATTCCTCCTTCCAAAAACACTTTTTCTAATTGATATTTTTAGCACTTGCATTTTCTGTTTGCTTGCATTGAGGGGCAGCTTGATCAATTAAAGTTGATGGATGTACAGAAACTTTTTAAAAGTTTTTTTAAACACTTTGCTGTTGGCCAGAACAAAAGCATTATGATTTAGAATGCCAACACTGCACTATAGTTAGAATAGTCTAGTCACATTTAATATATGATGCATCAGTGGTTATCCGTGTCATCCATTTTTCTTGTCTTTAGTATGTAATTGTGGTGAATTGAGGCTCTATTTATAGAGCCTCAACCTATCTTTCTTAGTATCATCTGTCCATCTCATAGAAGTTACCCAGACATTTGCCAAACTGTTCTTTCATTATGTAGCTCCAATCATTTCTCCTTTTTCTCATCTAATAGAAGTTACCATTGTACTGGTTGTTCTCTTACCACTTAGTGTCAGAGATATTCTAAGATACTAGTTTATTTCTTTTGAATGTGTATATGCATTCCCTTCTCAACAAAATAGTTAGCTCTAATATGATCTTGAACTTTTTTCATAACCATCCCATAGTTCTTTCAAAGTAAAGATGTACTTGATATTTTATCACATAAATAATTACTTATGCACCTTGCAATCTGCTTATTCTCTTCTAAGGTATTAATGATGTCAAGCGGCTGAAACCTGGCTACCTGGAAGCTACTGTGGACTGGTTTAGAAGGTACAAGGTTCCTGATGGAAAACCAGAGAACCAGTTTTCTTTCAATGCGGAATTTAAAGATAAGGTAATGTGTCATTCAGAACTGTGGCTTCAAGTCTGTTTGTATCGAGGCTTATAATTTAACTTATAAGCCATTTAAAGACTACATGATCTTTTAAAAAATGTCTAAAGACATGACTTGATGTTGATTTATTCATTTGAATGTTTTCTTCCATTTTTGACCCAAGGAAATGATTCAAAAGAGACAAAGTTATCGGGCTTTGGGAAAATGATGATACTAAGAAAAGAATACTTTTCTTACAACGTAATGCATATCTCTTCAAATTATAGGATTTTGCAACTGACATTATTAAAAGCACTCATGACTATTGGAGAGCATTAGTGACGAAGAAAACCGATGGAAAAGGAATCAGTTGGTAAGCACTCACTCTTTTCATGTTTATCAAACAAAGCAGATCAGCTTGCTCCAAAGGTTTTAACAGCCACACATTATCATCACTTCCACTTAGAAAAGAGCTTCTGTTGTTGAATGTATTCCTCCATCCAAAAATATTTTTCCTAGTTGATATTTTTAGCATTTGTGTCTTTGTATTCAGTGCTCAAGTGAGTGGGAAGGTAAATAAACGCCTGAAAAGTGCCCATAAGATACCTGAAAAAGGACAAACTAAAACTGTGATGGGACAGTGAGATCAGAACATTCTGAGAGTAAGTAATTGGGAAAGGCATTAAGGAGTCAGAATGGAATGGGTGAAATAAGGCTGAGGGCTAGGGTAAGTATTCTCTGATGTAAATGTGTAAGGTGCGTCACAAATAACCAGTATCTACCATGCACACAACCTTTACTGCCACTAACAGTAGGTAATATTTACATGTTTGCAAAGCATGTAACAGAGAATAATTAGATTGAACTTAACCACAATCATCCCAAAGTGTTTTCAGAGTTAGGACTTGTACTTAAGTCTATCTGGCACTCGGTATTCAGGCCAATATACTTCCTCTGACTTTAAAGATTTGTAAGAGAATGTCCATTATCATCTCTTAACTAATGTCTTGGAAATAATAGCTAATGAAGAAACCATGTGTTTTGATGTAGGAACATTGAAAAGGGAGAACATATTGTGGTAGATGATATGATTGGTGCCCAGAAAACACTAGAAAAAATAAAGAAGGCAGTCATTACAGAATTACAGCATGAGTATGTATGTACAGTTGACCCTTGAACAATCTGAGTTTGTATTGCTTGGGTCCACTTACGTGTGGATTTTTTTCAAAAAATTCATACAGCACTGTAAATGTTATTTTCTCTTCCTTATGATTTTCTTAATAACATTTTCTTTTCTCTAAGCTTTATTGTAAGAATACATATAACATACAAAGTATGTGTTAATAAACTTTATGTTATCAGTAAAGCTTCCGGTCATTAGTTAAGTTTTGGCGGAGTCAGAAGTTATATGTGGCCCTAGCCAGTTTGGCTCAGTGGATAGAACGCCAGCCTGCACCCTTTCTTTTTCTTTCTTTCTTTCTTTCTTTCTTTCTTTCTTTTTTTTTTTTTTTTATATATATATTTTATTGATTTTTCACAGAGAGGAAGAGAGAGGGATACAGAGTTAGAAACATCGATGAGAGAGAATCATTGATTAGTTGCCTCTTGCACATCCCCTACTGGGGATGTGCCCGAAACCAAGATACATGCCCTTTACTGGACTCGAACCCGGGACCTTTCAGTCCGCAGACCAATGCTCTACCACTGAGCCAAACCGGTTTCAGCAACCAGCCTGCACCCTTTGTTGCAGGCTCCTTCCTGGCCGTGGCCCTGGTCGGGGCTTGTGCAGGAGGCAACCAATCAATGTGTTCTCTCACATCAATGTTTCTCTCTTTCTTTTCCTCTTTCTTCCACTCTCCTTAAAAATCAATGGAAAAATATCCTTGTGTGAGGATTAACAACAACAGCAAAAGTTATATGTGGATTTTTTTACTTTATGGGGGTGGGGTTGGTGCCCTTAAGCCTCATGTTGTTCCAGGTTCAACTGTAAAAGTGAGATCATATGGTATTTATCTTTTTCTGTCTGACTTATTTAACTTAATGTCTTCAAGGTCTATCCGTGTTGTTGTAAATAGCAAGATTTCATTCTTTTTTTAGTAGCTGAATAATATTCCATTTTTATAGCTGGTGATGTTTTCTTTACCCATTCATTCATCAATGGACATTTAGGTTATTTCATGTCTTGGCTATTATAAATAACTAGGGGCCCAGTGCACAAATTCGTGCACCTTGAAAGTAATAGTGGGGCCGTGCCCTCCACCCTCCACCCCCCTCACCCAGCCCCTCCTGCCACGGCCCCCCATCACTGCTGTTCCCATGCGCTGATGGCGCCGGCCCCACTTGCACCCGCTAATGGCGCAGAGCAGCAGTTGGGGCCAGCATTGTCAGCAGTCATGAGCAGCAGCTGCTGCCACGATCGCCCCTCAGGAGCAGGGGGAGGTAGAGAAGCCCTCAGGGTGATCAGCCGCCACTCACACCATCTGATAGTGCTAAGTGATCAGCACCAGCAGAAGGTACGAGTGCTGAGTGGGACCATGGTGTGCATGATAGCAAAGAATTTTCAGTAACCAAAGAAGCTAGCCCCGATGACAGCAACTGGTGCCCCGCCTTGTTCTGGTGCCCCTGCTCACCTGCTCCATCATCCTGCTGCGGCCAATGCCCACCATGTTCTGTGTGCACCCCCTAGTGAGCACACATCATAGCGACCAATTATTCGGATGTAACGCCATTCAGTCTATTGCATTTTAGGGTTTTATATATACAGATACTTCAATGAACATAGCAGTACATATGTGTTTTTGAATTAATATTTTCATCAGGCAAATACCCAGAAGTAGAATTCTAGATCATATGTTAGTTGTAGTTTCAGTTTTTTGAGGCATCCCTCCCTACGCTGTTTTCCATAGTGGCTGTGTACATTTCCCACTAACAGTGCACAAGAATTCCCTTTTTTCAACATCATTGCTGACACTTGTTGCTTGTCTTTTTGATGACAGTCATTTTAACGGATGTGAGATTTTCTCATTGTGGTTTTGATTTGCATTTCCCTGATGATTATTGATGTTGAACATCTTTTCATGTAGCTTTTTGGTATGTGGGACAACACTCCAACCAACTGAACCACCTGGATGGAGCAATGAGATTATTTTATTAATTTCCCTCTGTGATAGCTTTTATTAATGTACAGAAGTGCAGCCGTTCATGTATACTGATTTTGTATCCTACAACTTGAGTAAACCTGAGGTTCAAGTAAATTGAACTTGAATCTCCTGTGGCCTACCATCTTTCAACGTGTTTTTTGACTCTTGAGAGAAGTTTTTGTTACTGCAACTCATGACTGCCTTTGTTTTATTTAACAGCATGAACACCACAGTGTCTGGGAGCCCCTACAAGTGTGATCCGGACGCTGCTAAAGCCATTGTGGATGCTGTACGTAAATGCTTCCTTGAAAAAGGACAAATATGGTGCTAAATGGGGAGGGAAAGCAGTGCTTTCAGCAACTGCTAGAGTACCTCCTGTATGCATATTACTGTGTGAGGTCTTGAACTTAACAAAACATGAACTCACGTAAGCAAACATTTGACTGCATGTAAAAGCTGAATAGTGTCCTAGTCCACCCTCAATTGGGCAGATAGCAAAGTAGTACAATTTGTACTACTAACCCAAGGGCCTATGTACCTATTATAGGCCATTTTCACAAAAGAATCAACAGGAACTTACTTGTCAAGGTCAGTTAAAGTTATCACATTTTAGGTATTGTTGCAGGGGTGGTTCATAATCCTAGAAAAGACTTTCATGTAAGGCAGTTAAATTTTTTAAATTATCAATTTCAGAGAGGAAGGGAGAGAGAGGTAGACACATCAATGATGAGAGAGAATCATTGATTGGCTACCTTCTGTATGCCCCCCACTATGGAGCGAGCCCGCAACACAGGCATGGGCCCTGACCTGGAATCAAACTGTGACCTCCTAGCTTATAGGTTGATGCTCGACCACTGAGCCACACTGGCCGGGCTAAGGAAGTAAACTTTTTATCAAAGACATAATTTTGTTTCTGTACTATTTTTTTATCTAATTCAGATTAACCAATATATTTAACTAGATCATCTTAATTTATTCTCATTTACAATATTAAATAAGGAAAACAAAATTAGGTCTGATTTTGTACTGCTTTTTAATTGAGTAAAAGGAAAAATAATTTAGTTATAAAGCCAATAATGGGTATTTTTTTTTATGTATGAATCCTGACAAAGTTGAAACGAATAAGAAAATTTGGATAGGAAAAGGTATTGGTTGGCAATCATAATGTTTCAATGAGAACACTCTGCCTACATTATATATTTATAATATATATTAAATCACTATGTGTGTAAATCAGTTTTTATTCTTTATTTCAAAATATGTTTATTTTTATTATTCTCATGTGTGTCATTAAAAGGGGCTTGAATTTGTAAACTTTTTTAGCAGTAGAGCAAACATTGCCTTATTCCTATAAATTATTATTATTTTTTTAAAATATATTTTATTGATATTTTACAGAGAGGAAGGGAGAGAGATAGAGAGCTAGAAACGTCGATGAGAGAGAAACATTGACCAGCTGCCTCTTGCACACCCCCTACTGGGGATGTGCCCACAACCACGGTACATGCCCTTGACCGGAATCGAACCTGGGACCTTTCAGTCCGCAGACCGATGCTCTACCACTGAGCCAAACCGGCTTCGGTTAAATTATTATTTTTTGAACCTAAAAATTAGGATAGTTGTCTTATGTTCAGATTCATTTTCATTTTTGTCAGTATACTTCTTTAGTTTTTTTTTTAAGGATTAGACTAATATATTTTAATATTTTGTTTTAGTTACCACCACCATGTGAATCTGCCTGCACAATACCTGCAGATGGTAAGAACAATATTCTAATAAATTACATTAAAACTTATGTGAATGTGTGGAAAAATTATATCTATCGATAAATCTTACATACCACACCCATACAAAGAAAGAAAAGGAAGGGGAGAAGAAACATTTGTCGAGTTTCATAATGTCTGAGGAAAGGAAGATGGTTGTACGCACCACCCCTGGTGTCAGCGCTAATCACAGCCGTTTCCACACCATGGCCCACTCTGGGGCCTGGGTACATGCTTCATGGGCACTGGAGCAGGCTGGGTTCTGGGTCCCCATCTGGCCACAGGCTGCTTCACCCAGAACGAGTTCTCTCCCCCTCTTGATTGAGAATTCGCTATCAGGTTCCTCTCATGAGAAGCACATGTTTATATGATTAGTATCAAGAGTAAGGAAGCCTAAATGAAAACACTGGTAAATTACCTGTGTTTGCTATAGTGAAACTTGCAAGTATGAAAGTTTGTTTTAAGATAATCAATAATAGGACACATTAAAGCAAATATATTCTTCTTTGTTACATGCTGGGTATATTTTGATTCTTAATGAGGGTTCTAATTTGTTTTTCTTTTCTCTAAATATAGTGGATAAATGGTTCCATCACCAGAAAAACTAAGGAAATTTCTCCGGAATACAAGCTGATATTACTGCATCATATTCATCTGGAAGTATTAGATGCAAAAGTAGTGGCTTTTCTAAGCTTTAAATTTATAGAACTAATCTAACAAAGAAAATTCTGCTGTGACCAATCCAATATATTTAGTATGTTATCCATATGAAAGCATTTTTCATCTCAGCTAAGATAACTTTGAGCACATGCTTAAATATCAAAGCAGTTATTGGAATTTGGAAGTCATTTGTGAATAAATGTGCGAGATATTGGATGTATATGTTTACTATGTGTTAGGAAATAAAATTATTTTGCTGAAATTTGTCTTATATTTTCATTTTAATCTGAAGCCAGATATTACCAAGCAGGCATGGGTGCTATTTGTTGTTCAATAATTTTTAGACTAAAACTGATTTTACTTTTAGGAATCTGAGAATGAAATTCCTTATTTTTACAGTAGTCTTGATACTGTGGTCTTGCCTAATTCCTAGCATCCCACTGTAAAGCAAAAGCTTTTAAATTTATATCATATTAGCAGAAAACACAACCTTGCTCACCTTTTTTTAAAATTACTTTATTGAGTAAGGTATCACATATTTGTCTTCATCCCCCCACCCACCCATTCCCTTCCCAAGCCCCTCCCCACATGTGCCCCCTCCCCCCTGTTGTCCGTGACCACTGGTTAGGCTCATATGCAAGCACACAAGTCCTTTGGTTGATCTCTCTCCCTTACCCCACCCTCCCCTTCCTTCCCTCTGAGGTTTGACAGTCTGACCGATGCTGTTCTTGTTCATCAGTCTATGTTGTTCATTATTTCCCCTAGATCAGTGTTTCCCAAAGTGTGGTACGCATACCCCCAGGGGTATGGGAAGAGTTTGGTAGGGGTATGCGCTGCACTGGAGTTTGGTGGGGATATGCACTGCCCCGTGCTTAGCTGTGCCTAATTCTGCGTTCTCATGAGTACAAGGGGTACCCAGCGTTACAAAAATTATAGAAGGGGTACACATATGTCAAAAGTTTGGGAAACACTGCCCTAGATGAGTAAGCTCATGTGATACTAGAAATATATTTATAAGAACCGAAAATGAGACAAGTAATATTGGTTCTGCTGAAAGGCAAATTAATCAGTCAATAGTGAGTTTTCTTTCTGGGCCAACTGTTCTTTTGAGTCCCAATTTCTATGTCAAACAGTTCCTTATGTGTATATATCAGCAATGATATTTCAGTTTTGGATGGTAGATAAATGGTGGTAATGCAGGTCCGACCCTCTCTGGTTTGGTCCTGGGCAACCTGCAGTGACGCACAGCTGCTGACTGCTAGTATGGCAAGGCATCGTCAGCGTCTTCCATCTCTGGACTGCTTCTCTTCTGTCTTCGTGGCTTGAGCACTCCTGTCAATTCCTCTCTGTTGCAGGAATCCACATGGTCTCAGAGTTGTTTTCTGAAAATATACATATTCTCAATCAAAAGTTAATAAAGGAATCTTCTATAAATTTGACTTGTGATCCTTTTTCATTTTTTGCCCAAACGATTTTCCTTTGGCTTGTTTTGACACCATGTATGTTTTACATGGGTGTCTTGCCTTGCTCACCTTTTGAAGTGATAGTTACCTTCTTTACTTCCCTAGGCAACTAATTGAAGTTATTTTCATTATTCTCTGAGTTATCAGCCAGAATAGCTTTGTGATTAAGTTTGTGGGCTGTGGACCTATACAGACCTGAGTTTTTAATCCTAGCCCATCTACTAATTAATTCTGTAATCTTAGGTCAGTTCCCACCCAATTCCGTTCCTTCATTTGTAAAAAGAAATGAGCCTGGCTGGCGTGGCTCAGTGGTTGAGCATCCACCTATGAATCAGGAGGTCACGGTTCGATTCCCAGTTTGGGTATATGCCTGGGTTGCTGGTTTGATCCCCAGGGCGTGTAGGAGGCAGCCAATCAGTGATTCTCTTTTTGATGTTTTTACCTATCTCTCCCTCTCCCTTCCTCTGAAATTTATACCAATATATATATTTTTTAAAGTGAAGAGATGTTGAAACCAGTTTGGCTCAAGCCGAAACCGGTTTGGCTCAATGGATAGAGCGTTGGCTTGGGGACTGAAAGGTCCCGGGTTCGATTCCAGTCAAGGACATGTACCTTAGTTGTGGGCATATCCCCAGTGGGGGGTGTGCAAGAAGCAGCTGATCGATGACTCTCATCGATGTTTCTAACTCTATCTCTCTCTTCCTCTCTGTAAAAAAATCAAATATATATATATATTATATATATTATATATACTTATATATATAAATTAAGAAGAATTTTTTAAAAAGTGAAGAGATGTGATTCACATTATGTATTAAGCATTCAAACACTTTGAAATTTTTAATGAGATCATTGTGTCACAGGCAGCAGTAAGAAATAGAGGGATTCTCTCTAGATTTCCCCAAAGGTAAGATTTTGTAAAACTATAGTATATCACAGCCAGGACACTGACCTTTATACAATCCATTGATCTTATTAGGATTTCCCAGTCTTATATTAATTTGGATGATACATTGTTCTATACAAGGTGATCACCTATGTAAGTTCTTGCATCCTAAAAGATACTAATTCTTTCCTATGTTTTTCTCTAAAAGTCTATGGTCCATTTTGAATTTGTTGTATAAGGTGTTAAGGTTTAAGTCAAAGTTCTTCCCCCCACCCCCCCTTCCTATGGATGTTTAATTGCTTCAGTACGATTTGTTACAAAGGTTTTCTTCATTAAATTGGTTTTGTGCTTCTGGTAAGTACCAGATGCCTCGGTCTCTTTCTGGGTCCTCTGCTTGTTCCACTGACCTATGTGTTTGTCCCTCTCAGTACCACATTCTAGACTTCTGTAGCTACACGGTAAGCCTTACTACCACGTGGAGTACTTCCTCCCACTTTAGTCTCTATCAGGATTTATTTTACTAGTTCTTTAAATGTGCCTTCTCATTTAAAAATTTTTTCTATCTTCTCTATTATCCTCACTCAAGGATATTTTTCCATTGATTTTTAGAGAGTGTGGAAGAGAGAGGGAAAGACAAAGAAAACACCGATGTGAGAGGAACACATCGATTGGTTGCCTCCTGCACTCACACTCACCAGGTCCAGGCAGGGAGGAGCCTGCAACCAAGTTATGTGCCCTTGACCTGAATCAAACCAGGGACTCTTCAGTCCACAGGCCAACGCTCTAGCCAGTAGCCAAACTGGCTAGGGCAGTGATAGCCAAACCGCGGCTCTGGCCCGTTGAGTGTGGCTCTTCCACAAAATACCACGGCCTGGGCAAGTCTATTTTGAAGAAGTGGCCTTAGAAGAAGTTTAAGTTTAAAAAATTTGGCTCTCAAAAAGAAATTTCAATTGTTGTACTGTTGATATTTGGCTCTGTTGACTAATGAGTTTGCCAACCACTGGGCTAGGGCTAATTTAAAAAATTATATATATATATTTCAGAGAGGAAGGGAGAGAGAGGGGAGAGATAGAAACATCAATAATGAGAGAATCATTAGCTGCCTCCTTCACTCTCCTTACTGGGGATTGAGCCTGCAACCTAGTCCTGTACCCTGGCTGGGAATTGAACCCTGACTTCCTGGTTCATAGGTCAAAGCTCAACTGCTGAGCCACACTGGCCAGGCCTCATTTAAATTTTAAAATAATACTTTCCTATATCTGTTGTTGAGGCTTATAAAAAATCTTGCTGAGATTATGATAGATCAATTTTAGCCATGTGCTTACTTTCCTATTGTGTTTGTTAGTGATTTCTAATTCCATTAAGATCAGAAAACACACTATGTATGATTTCAATACTTTTTATATTGTTAAGGTTGTTTTATGGCTCAGAATGTGGTCTGATTTGGGGAATGTTCCACGGGTGCTTAGAAAAAAATGTATTTTGATGATGTTGGGTGGAATATTACATTTATGTTAACTAACTCCTGTAGACTGATGGAAGTGTTCTGTATCCTTGATTTTTATCAGTTTTATCAGTTGCTGAAAGGAGGGTGTTGAAGTTCTCAGTGATGACTGTAGCTTTGTCTGTTTCCCTTTTCGGCTCTCTCAGGGCGTGTGTGTGCTTTCATGTATTTTGAGGCTCTGTTGTTTGGTGTGCACACACATTAGATCTCTACGTCTTCCTGGTAGATTGATTCTTACATCATGTAATTTCCTCCTTGTCTTTAGTAATTTTCTTTCTTCTGTAGTCCACCTTATCAGAGATTAATATAGACACTTTTTAAATTAATGTTGGCAAGGTCTATCTTTTTTATTATTTTATTTTTCAACCTACATATGTTGTTGAATTTGAAGTAAATTCTTATAAGTATCATATAGTTGAGTTGTAATTTTTTTTTTTTACCCATTTTTTTAATTGATATGTTCAGACCAGTGATTTTCAACCTTATTCATATCATGGCACATTTAATAAGTTAATTACCAAAATTCTGTGGCACATCAAAAATAGGTGTAATTTTGATTCATTCATACTGGAGGGCTATTGTGTTGGCTGTTGCCATTTTTTTATTTGACAGTCTAAGGGAAAAGAGGTCACTGTCCCTGACTAAATAGTCAGTTATTGCATGTTTTAAAATATTTTGTGGCACACCGGTTGCAAATCACTAATTTAGACCATTTTCATTTAAGATAATTATTGCCAGATAGCACTTTATCCTGTTTGGAGTTTGCTCTGCTTCTTGTGTCTGTAAGTTTGTGTTGTCTTTCACCGAATCTGAGAAAGTGTTCAGCCATATTTCTTCAAATACTCTTTCTTCCCACTCTCCTCTCTTCTGAGACTCTGATGATATGAATGCTGGGTCTTTTGTTATTGTCCCACAGGTCTGTAGGTTCTGTCTCACTCCACCCCCCAGACTATTTTCTCTTTTTCAGACTGCGTGAGCTCTCTTATTCTGTCCTCATTCACCGAATATCCTGTCATCTCCACTCTAATTTTTTAAAATATATTTTATTGATTTTTCACAGAGAGGAAGAGAGAGGGATAGAGTTAGAAACATCCA